GCCCGCTCCGGGTTTGAGGCTTTGTTTCACGCGGGGCCCTGGGGCAGTCCCGCCTGAGGGGGGCGGCCCCCGCGTGACTGCCCCGCGGAGGTGGTGGGGGCCCTGCGCTCACAGTCACTGTCCGCCAGGGCGGGCAGCCCTCGGCACGTGGTCACAGGTCACAAGCTGTAGGGCGCGCTTTACTTCTGAATGATAATGTCCTTAGGCCAGAGTATTCAGCTTGTGTGTAACTAGCATAATCTTAGAATTAGGCAAGAATGTTCAGCTTGCACGTTAGCCTCATCTTAGAATTAAAACAATCAGGATGGTCTGTGGGTCTAGGCATTTCCCTTTTCCCTTTTGGTTAAGTTTTTATTTAACAGGAACTTTGAAAACTGACATACAGTTCTAAGTAAGGGTATAGATAATGGTTTAAGACTGTGAAAGAATGAACTGAGCACATGAAGTTTTAAAAACCAGAATGACCGAGGAATAGATAAAGTGATCAGTGGAACTGAATAGAGAGCCCAGAAATAGACCCACACAAATATGCCGGCTAGATTTTGACAAAGGTGCAAAAGCAGTTTGATGGAGGAAGGACAGCTTTTTGAACAAATGGTGCGGGAGTAGTTTCCACAGGCAAAATGAAAGAAATGAACCTCGGTGGAAACCTCACACCTTGAACAGCAATTGATTTAAAATGGATCACAGATTGCAACATAAAATGTAAGACTGTAAAACTTTGGGATGAAAACACAGGAGAAAACCTTTGGGACCTGGGGCTAGGCAGCGGCTTCTGAGACGTCGCACCAAAAGCACTATCCATGAAAAATAAAAGAGAAAGTGGACTCAACCGAGATTAAAAATTTACGCTCCTTGAAAGACCTGTTAGGAGCTGAAAAGAAGCGACCGACCAGGAGAAACTGTTTGCAAACCACATATCTGATAAAGGACTAGTGGAATGTCTAGAATAAAGACCTCTCAAAACTCAACAGTGGAAAGTCAAACAATCCAATGGGAAAGTCGGCAGAAAGCAGAAACAGCTCTTTTACCGGAGAGGAGAGACGGCTGGAGAGTAAGCGCGTGAAAAGGAGCTCAGCGGCGCTAGCCAGCAGGGAGACGAGGACAGGAGACAGCTGGACACAGCAGGGGCCCTCCAGATGCCGGCGGGACGCGGAGACCCCGGGCCTCGCGCCGCTGCTGGTAGGCGTGTAAGACGGGGCAGCGGCTCTGGAAACAGATCGGAAGCATTTCTCGCCGTTAAAATGTCCTCACCGTGTGGCCCAGCAAGCACGTTCTTGGGCACTTATCCCAGAGAAATGGAAACTCATGTTCACACAGAACCTCCACATGAATGGCCATGGCCGCTTTGTTTGTAATAACCAAACCTGCAAACACCCCGAAGGCCCCTGTCTGGGTGAAAGGTTAAACATGCGGGTGTGCCCCTAGGCACATGCTTGGGCCTGGCCGCCTCCCAGGCGTCAGCAGAGGCGTCTCAGAGGTCACACGCCCCGTGCTCCCACCTCTGTGACATCCTCTGAGCGTCCAAGCGGTAGACGGGGAGCAGGTTAGCGGGTGCGCCGGGGAGGGAGGGTGGGCGTGTCTGGGAGGCAGCACGACAGGCGCACGTGGAGACTGGTGCGATCTGAACGAGGCCCGGGGTTGGTGCCAGCAGGGTCCCAGTGTCGCTTTCCTGCCCTCGGTGTCACGCTGCCGCTTACACAGGATTCCCAGAGAAGCAGAAGCAGTGGGAGGGGTGTGTGTGGCGACAGCCAGCACCCACTCTAAGGGGCTTCCCACTCGGAATTGGCTCACACGGCTGTGGAGGCAGCCAAGCACGTGCACAGTCTGTGTGGCAGGTGGACAGGCAGGGGGCATCGTCACCAGGTGGCACCCCATGGGCAGGAGCTGTTTGGAGTCTCCAAGATCAGGGACAGCCTAAGCTGCCTTTTATTATTATTTTTTAAAATATTTTATTTATTTATTTAGTTTGTCCATGTCACGCAACCTTTTATTGTTATTTTTTTAAATATTTAATTTATGTATTTAGTTTGTCCATGTCACGCAGCATGTGAGATCTTAGTTCCCCAACCGGGGTCGATCCTGTACCCCCTGCAGTGGAAGCGCAGAGTCCTAACCACTGGACTGCCAGGGAAGCCCTTAACTGCCTTTTAAAGCTCTCACCTGATCAGGCCAGGCCCACCCAGGGTGATCTCTCGAGTAATTTAACATCAACCAACTGGGACTTTCTATCACATCTGCAAAGCCCCTTCCCGGCAGCACCCAGAATCGTGTCTGACTGGGTACCTGGGGCTGTGATTCGGCCTTGGCAGGACACTGACGTGCTGTGACAGTTGCCCCGTACGGACCCTCAGGATAACTACTGCTGTCTTCTTCTTCTTTTTTTTTTTTTGCGGTACGCGAACCTCTCACCGTTGTGGCCTCTCCCTTTGCGGAGCATAGGCTCCGGACGCGCAGGCTCAGCGGCCATGGCTCACGGGCCCAGCCGCTCTGCGGCATGTGGGATCTTCCCGGACCGGGACACGAACCCGTGTCCCCTGCATTGGCAGGCAGACTCTCAACCACTGTGCCACCAGGGGAGCCCTGCTGTCTTAATGTGATGTGGATGTTCCATAATTTTTGAAAAACAAAATATTAAGTTGTACAACTTGAGGTTGACGTAATTGCGTTAGTGGAAAGGTGTATTTTCTGGAATATTAATATTGGTATTTAAAAACAGATTCATTGCTCACTTAAATGTTTCTGTTATAATCTAAATACCATCATCCATTAAAAACAAGTCCCCTGATGAATAAGCTTTGGACCGTCAAATTTTACATCGTCCCTTTTGCTTTTTGAACTTTCTTTCCCACTTCGTTTCCTTCACAAGATTTTATCCTGTCAACCAGGCTGGCGCATTCCTGTGCAACAGAAATACGGATAGAAATTGAAGCTGAAAAATGTATTTCCTGTAACCGTGAGGCCTGGAGGGTTAAAAAAAAAAGCTCTTCTGGATTGAGGTCTCATTACAGCTCTTAGTACACAGTTGAACAAAACAGGGTAAATTATTACCAGTTGATAGTTAACTCTTAACAATGCAGTGTTGTGAATTTACCCTTGAGATGGATGGGGCTTTAGTGTTAGTTAATTCCTGAATCTCTGGAGGGTTATGAGTAATCTATCACTTAAAATGACGCAGGGTTCAATGTTGGTTCCTTTTCTGTTTTCAGTTTTTATAGTTTGAAGTTCTGAGAAGCTTTGTTTACATAAATAAATCTGTGGAAGATGAAGGAGGTCCTCATTTCTTGCAGGTGTGTGCCAGCAAGCTTAGTGGTCTGTCATCACAGATTACTTTGATTATCTGTGAGCTGAAACCCTAAGTAGGTCCTCCGTGCGCTTTGTCAGAGGCGAGTGGTAAGGAGTGACCCCCGCAGAGCGCCTGCTGTCTTACGTCTGGATGGACGGGGTGCCTGAATGTGATTGCGGGGAGGCTTTGTGAAAGGGAACAACCACATTGGCCAGAGGTGCTCTCCTGGGGCATCATCTTTAGGACATAGAACGTTCTGGAAGGAGGGCATCTGGGAATTGAGGCCCTGCGGGATCTGCACACCGAGGGGCCCCCGACGGTCGGGTGCCCCGGGGCTCCCTGTGCTCCAGCTTGAAGCTGGGTGTCTCAGACCAGCATTTCCTTGGTCTTAAGGTCCTTTGGGAAACAGAGGTGTGTTTAGTCTAACGACTTTGCCGGATGTTGGCGTGAATCCATTGTAACCTGTTTATTTCCGGCAGACATCCCAGACCTTGAATGTGCTCATGTCCATCGAGATGTCCTGTCGGGGTGAGAGGGAACACCTTTGTGTGGGTACCCTGTGTGTGACCTCGGTACCAAGTCAGAGGCCGCCTGGCCGCTGGTGGTACCTGACCTGTGGGTAGGTGGTCGGGAGCTGGTGGGTCATTTCAGGTGTCACTGATGATTAAGTAGCACGGCTGAGAAAATGCTGATGCCTTTGAGTGAAATGCAGGCGATTATGCTTCTTCTTTAGGAAAATATCCTGTGGTCCTGCCGTTCACTTCCGCATGACACGGTGCCATTTGTGCCTCTGCTTTTGGGGACATTTAACAGGGTGTGGCTGGGACAGGGGCTGGCTTCTCATGGGTGCCTTTGGGTTCATGGGCTTTCCTCCTGTAAAAGCAGGGTTTCCCCGACTTGGAGTTTGGAGAGAGAGATCCAGGCATGACATTGCTCTCAGGTAACACTGCTGTACATCTCGAGTGCCTGTTCTTTCTGCACAAAGCACGGCGGGAAGCGCTGAGGGCTGGAAGGTTAATGAGCAAAAAATCTTGACGACTGTGCTTAGAGACGAGCCACTGGCTCCTGCGTGTTTAAACACGTGTCTCAAAAAATAAAAAAATAAATAAACACATGTCTCCCTCCGGAAAGAGCCCCCGGTGGGGCACAGTTCTTTTGTAGCATCGTTTCCTTCGAAGCAAAGTCCCCGGACCCTTGGCTGTGGTTCCTGCACTGGCCCAGCAGAACCCAGAGGTCAGTGCCCGGCGGCTCCCCCGCAGCCGCTCCGCGGGTGTTCGCCCCTTTCTGTGCATGACACTCACATCCTGGGATGGAAGTGATAAGCACAGCGGTCACGAAAGCCTAGATTGCAGATGGGAATTCGCTCGGATGCAGTGAGTAAGTCTCAAGCTGTTTTTCATGCAGACCTGCTCCTTCAGAAACCTTCCTGCACAGTGACAGCTGTGACACCTCTGCCTCTTCTCTGTAAACATGTAAATATTTGTAACCTGACTCTCCCGACAGTGCCAACAAGGAGCAGAGCTAGACTCTCCATTAAGAAGCCCAGCCCCGGCTCGCACTTTGCCCGGTGTCACTCGTGCACGTAGCGCAGCCCTGCCGGGGCCTCCCCTCTGGAGCTCGGGGCGTGGGCGCTGACTTTTGATGACTCTGTGCTCTGACAATGAACGCTGTCGTGTTAAGGTCTTCTTTTCTCTGTGATTCTTTTGTTCCCTAGCGTCGTCCCCCAGACTACAGTAATTCTCAACAGTGATCGGCAGAACGCCGTTGTAGCCAAGATGGAAGACCCCCTGAGCGGCAGGGCACCGGATCCCCTGGAAAATATCATTAGCAAGTCAGTAGCACGACACCCCACCTCTCACCGCCACCGCTGGGGCCCCGGGGACAGGGCGGCGTCCTGGGGCGCCCGTGTCGTTGGGCCCGGGGTTCTCCGCGGCCAGGGTCTGGGGAGGACGGCCCGGCCTGTGTCCACCGCCGCGCGTGCCGGCGGGAGGTACCCTGTGTGCTCACCACGATGCGCGGATCCCGCCCTCTCACCTCACTCCCATCTGTCTGTCTGTCCGAGCATGTCGGGTCGGCGACGTCCCCTCTGGTTGGTGAAGTGGCGGAGGCGTTTCGAGGTGGTGCCTTTTCCACCCCTTTTTCTTTGGAGACGCTTTGGCTGTACCCTGGGTCAGAGGCGGGAGTGCGTGGAGGGCACCATCGCCCCTCGTGTGCTGGCGCCCCGCTGGCGTCGGCCCAACTGAGCTGCTTCCCGGCGAGTCTCGCAGGCCCTCCTGCAGCCAGTCCCGCTTCTACCTGGCTGTAGCCCAGGTCCGCAGGGCCCCAGACCCCAAGCAGCCCGGCCGCGGGAGGTGGGTGCGGACGCTCCGGGCCGAGGCCGTGGGCCGGCAGAGCAGCAGAGGGTCCGTGTGCCTTGTGCCCGCGAGGGCGGAGTCGTGGCCAGGTCCGGAGCATTTAGCGAGGTCCATCCCCCCAGGATGGAGCCCTCCGGGGTTTGCCTCGGCAAGCAGGGACCTCGCGCTGCTTCCCCTTCCCCGTGCGCGGCAGCATCTCGAAGGCAGTCGAAAAGGTCATTCAGAAGGCAGTAGCGTGCCTCCAGGTAATGGAGCCCGTTTCAGAGCTGGCTGGTGTTCTGGTTTCCTGGCCGTGCCTTACTGCGCTGTATCGGGGTCCCTTGTGGTGCTAAGGATGCCCCCCAGGAGATCCTCGACTGGCTTTTTTAGCCCACTAGAGCGGTTTCTGTCAGTGGGCTAGTTGGGAGTGAGAGCTGCGTCTTCACAGGCCGGGTCATTTCTAGGACATCTCTCGGGACGGAGTGGATCGGTGCAGTCAGTCTGGGTCTGCAGACATACTTTCTCTCACTCAGCCTTTCCTTTGACACGGCCTCAATCTCACCCTGATTCAAACGTCAGCGTTTTGTCGGGTTACCTCCGCGATCAGAAGGGAGCGTTCTAGGCCTTGAGTCACAGCAAGTTGTGATTTCACTTCTTTTGTGCTGTAAACATTTTTTTAAACGTTTCAAGTTTCATACAGTTTCTTGGAGCCACAGGCTGTCTCCTGCTATTAATCTGAATAGAAAGAGCTGAGGGAAGGCTGGTGGCCCAGTGCATGTGCAGAGGTAGCTTCTCTGAGACGTGAAGGGGAGAACGTCGGGGTACAGAACCATCTCTGCGTGTTGCTGTGCTGCTCTCACCACACTGCTGGTGTCTCTGTTTCCCGCGCAGCGCGGTGCCCGGGCGTCGGCAGAACACCATCGTGGTGAAGGTGCCAGGTCAGGAGGACAGCCACAATGAGGATGGGGAGAGCGGGTCCGAGGCCAGCGACTCCGTTTCCAACTGTGGACAGTCAGGAAGTCAGAACATCGGCAACAACGTCACCCTCATCACCCTGAACTCGGAAGGTGCGTCCTCGAAGCTGCTCCTCTCCTCCGCGTGGACGGTAATGGGTGTGCCGCGGCTCTTGAACAGCTCGGGCTGAAACTGCGCGGGTCCATGACACGTAGACTGTTCAGTAGTAGATGTTACGGCGTTGTACGGTCTGCACACGGGGAGCCGTGAATATGGGGGTGCTTGCGTTCACGGGGGGCCCACTAGCAGTTACGTGTGGATCCCTGACCACATGGAGGGTCGAAACCCCTCACGTTGTTCCGGTGTCAGCTGTAATTTTTTCCCCTGCTTTTTAAAAAAGTAATATATGTTTATTGTTTTTGAAAGATGATAACATATGAAAATGACAAAGAAAGTACAAATAACCGGAGACGTTCCTCATCCAGAGATCTCTAGAAACCTTCTGGGCTTTTTCTACATTAACATACACGCTAGAGTTACGATTTTGTAACTCGCTTTTCCCCATTGCGTAGTAGAAATCTCTCCACGTTGATACAGGTTCACATAATCGTTTTCAGTCAGGTTTGCTTATTGAATCTAGCTCTGGAGGCTTTCCGATGATGGAGAGCTGTAACTTGAGAGCTATCGGTCGGCTCACTTGTGTGGCCACAGCTCTGTCCTGTGTCTCTGATGAGGGCCTCACGCAGACTCAGAGGGGCCACACGTCCAGGTTGAGTCCACGCTGCCCCTGCCCACTGTGATATAGGGGGAGCATCCTCTCTCCTGCTGGGTCTGGGGTCCACTCTCACCTGGCTCTGGGTCCGGGTGGCGGCCTGGCAGGCCCTCCAGAGGGTTCCTGCCACCTGGCAGCTTTGTCCTTCTCTTGAGGGCTGAGTCGATGTTTCCCAAAATAGCGCGGAGAGAGAGGAGGGAACTGGGCAGATGTAGCATCGTGTCACCGAGTCCTCAAGCGTATAATTTGTTAACTAGGAAGGGCTGGTGAGATGTTTCTGCTTCTCCGTCTGAGTGGTTGATTTTTCCTAAGAGCACAGTATAGATTTTTCTACAAAGATTTTCCTGTTAGACTTGTTACCACATCTGAAGCATTGAAAATGTTTTCCTTAAAACGTCATTCACCTCTAACATAAGTTGCTAGGGTTGAGATGGCAGAGCAGGGAACAGAGAAAAAGCAAACTGGGCAACTTAGAAAAAAAATTGAGGTCTAATTTCCGTTCCATAAAACTGACCATTTTAAAGCAGACGTGCCGGTAGAGCGTGCACATCACCCCTATCTAATTGCAGGGTATTTTTACCACCCCAAAGAGACCCCACAGCAGTACCCCCGTGCTCCAGCCTCCAGCCCTGCCACCTCTGATCTGCTTCCTGTCTGTGGGGTTGCCTGTTGTGGATGTTTCATACGAGTGGAAGCACGTGGTGCCCTCCTGTTGTACATGCAGCAGTCCTTCATTCCTCTTTATGGCCGGATGACGGCCCATCTAAGTGTGTAGATAGGCCACACTTTGTTGATCCGTCACCCACCGATGGACGCTGGCGTTGTTCCCACTTTCTGACTGTCACGAACAGTGCTGCTCTGAACGTTTGTGTGTAGGTTTCTGTGCGTGTTTTCATTTTTCTTGGGCTGATACCTGGGAGTGGAATTGCTGGGTCAGGGCAGCTAGTCTCTCTACTCATTAGACTTGAGGAAAAGAGGGTTGCTCCTGATTTCATCTTAGTGGATATCGAATGAAAATTACATCTGTAACAATTGCAGAGAAAGCTAATTGTTCTTATTCTTTTTCCATGTGGATTTTGGGTAAATACTCCTGTAGGTCTAGCTGTGTCCTTTAGGCCTAACTTGTTTGGTTTAAACGGCCTCAGCTCTGAAACATGACATTGGATAATTTGGGGGGAGTCTGGGGTTATCATAAAAACCAAAAATGTCATCATTTAAGTTTGTATGCCCTAATGTGATCTGATTAATGTGAAATATATTTCGGGGGGACTGCAGACTGACTCTAATGTGAGCTTACAAAAAGGGATCAGAATTTGAGCTTATTAGTATTAAAATCTGTAGGGAAAAAAGTACAGGTTTTCTGTGTGTCTGAGTGCAAGCTTGCTGCCACTGTCCTCGGGAAGGTGTCCCCCCCCCCACCCCCCCGTAGTTCTACGTCCTGAGAATGTCAGGTTGAGCCACCTCGGTTGGCACGGGGTTTGGGAAGATGGAACAGAGACCGCCGGTGTGTGCATGTAAATGTGGGCAAAAGAGCTAATCTGCAAACGTCTCGCACGGGCCTGTAGTGGCGTCATGTGGCCAACATCCTGTGACATATATGATGCACTGAGAGTCGGATTCGCTGCTTCCCTCCCACGTCCTCCCGGGACCAGAATAGCTTGCTCGACTGGGGAGCGTCCAGTCAGCTACTTCCTATCAGAGAAATGGGGATAAGACGTAGGCGCTGAAGGGCTGGAGGCTCGGCCTTAGGTGGAGTCATCTTACTTCCTGATAAGAGCCCAGGGCTGCACATAGACAGACGTTCTTCTCTTCTTATAAAAGTATTTCTGTGCCTGATTGCAGAGAACCACAGAGTTTCAGAATGGCTATTTCTTAAGAATTCCGCATTGTCTGCACGAATTGGCATGCCGTCCCCTAGCAGATCTTTATTATACTGGAGCGGTGCCAGGGGATTTACCCGTGCGTTAATCGGCGGTTCTGGCTGTCACGGCACCAGCTCCGTTTGGATCAGACAAACGCTGACGGTGGGGAGCGGTGAGCCGCAGGCTTAGCTCTTAGCTCTTGCCCTTCTCTTCCCCGGCACAAGGCCTTCGTTTACCCCGATCTTTGGGAAGTACTGAAAGTGTGTGGGGTTCATCGTTCCAAGATTAAGCTGGTGAACTGAGTCAGAGAAACAGATTAGCCAAAATGGACCGAAAGTGGGATCTGTGCATTAATGAAGGGATTTAGTTAGATTCTTAATAAAGAGTTTAATTCCTGCCGTTTATGCATTTGATAATTCTTACAGAACTTGACTAATCCTGCATGTAAAACGTTTGGTACTTGCCTTTAATAGGGAAGTACTTCTGTTATAATTGAATTATTGTCGGAAATCAGCCTTGTATATGTAGCAAAGCCCTGAGTCAGTGAAATGATTTATACTCACATATCTGTGAGTATAAATAGATAGAGATACTCACATATCTGTGCTGGGGTGGGGGGCAGGGCAGGGAGATAAAGTCTGGGAGGAGCAGGTGATTCAGCAGGGTTGTCAGGCACAGCACGGGGACCCCGGAGCACCTTCTCCGGGGTGTTGCTGGGCTGTGGGCTACGAAACAAGATCAGTATAAATTGCTGTGTTCACGAAACTGCAGCTGTACGTGTGCTAAGGAGGAAATTTAGCCAGAAACATTTCTTGAGAATTTGTTCACATAATTTATTTTATATGAACTTTTCTTAACACAAATTCTTTTTTATTTTAAAGATTTGTTTTGATGTGGACCATTTTTAAAGTCTTTATTGAATTTGTTACAATATTGGTTTTGTTTTATGTTTTGGTGTTTTGGCCGCGAGGCATGTGGGATCTTAGCTCCCCGACTGGAGATCGTACCTGCACCCCCTGCATTGGAAGGCAAAGTCTTAACGACGGGACCGCCAGGGAAGTCCCTGCATAAATTCTTTGTGTATTTGGTAACATTAAAACGCATTTTAGCAGCCGTCATAAGTAGGCTGCTGACAAGAGCAGGATTAAGAAAGAGGATTAGTGCAGCAACGTCAGTGGGTCTTTGTGCAGGACCACGTAGTGAATGGTCACTGATCCCAGATCAGAGAAGAGTGGCCGGAGGGTGGCATCACAGCATCCCTCGCCGAGTCTCGGGTCGGCATGTGGGACCCAGCATAGGGATACCCCGTCTCTGCCCAGCGCTCCCGCTCTTTCTGCCAAGTGTCCTTGGACACTCGCTGTTGTCACAGTTGAGCTCATGACGACTGTGCTCAGCGGGCGGGATTCCCCGGAAGAGGCTGGGCTCCGTCGAGGTGTGGCCACGTGGTTCTGTGGGATAGGCCCAGCCTCGGGGGATGGAATTGGCTGCAGTGCCAGAAACGTTTGTGTTTTCCCTTTCCCTACAGCATTATCCTGTATGTAACCTAACGCTTTCGAATTCCCAGTTTAAAAACCCCAAACTGTCAATCTGTCCATAGCTTAAAGAGGTCACGTCAGTCCCAAAGAAGCAGAGGTGCTTGGGCTACAGGCACATAGTTTACTGTGTCTAAAGCCAGGAAGGCAAGCTGTCAGGTTCTGTGGTTGGTTGGAGTGTTACCGATTCACTGCAGGTGTCACCCTTGAATGAGGCTCACAGTCAGGGTGTAAACACCTTAATTCAGAAGGGCTCAGAAACAGGCGACAGCTTCTGAGGACGGAGTGTGATCCATGCTGAGAGGCGGCCCACAGGGCCTGTTCTGGAAAGCCTCCTTGAGCCCCTTCCCAGGGCCACTTGGTCCCCCCCACCCCCAGCCCACACCTCACATGTAGAGAAATTCGTAACCAGCTTGGGCAGCCTTTATAAAAGCCCAATGGAAACACAGCCTGATCCCTGCTCGTGGGCACGAGGTGTCCTCTGAGGCTGGCCCAGAGGTGCTGGAGCCGGCCTCGAGGACCTGACCTCATGTGACCCCCTGGGCCGTGTGTGGACACCCCGTTCACCTCAGAGCCTGCATCGTCACCATCCCTTGGGTGGAGACTGAAACGCCTCCCTGGTGGTCCCCTCTCGTGGCTGCAGAGACCAAGCCTGTTGTGAGTGATCGCTGAGGGGGAGCGGCGCCCGGGGCGTCTGGGAGCCAGGGCAGCAAGTGTCTGAGTGGCCCATCCTGGGGGCCCTTCCCTCCATCACAGCTGCCCGCACAGGACTTAGAGGCTTCTGGGGCCCCCTGGACGGAACACCGGCGTCTTTGGAGAGAGCCCGGGCGCTGGGCTGGGCTTGGTTCCGGGGTGGCATTTGGAGTGCTGGTGACCTCCCAGCCTGCGTGACGTGTGTGCAGGGCATGCAGGCTGCTGTCGGAGGACTCGCAGTTTGCCCTTTGCTTTGGAGGAGTGGTGACGCCTTGTGTCGCGTTTTCTCAGAGTCCCTGAGTTGCAGTAAGGCATGTGAAGTCCTGGCACGTAGGAGGCGTGGAGTAGATACTGTCTTGTCTTTGCCCCACGCGATTAGCTCCCACTCCTAGGCCCGGGCCCAGCCGAGTGGCTCGGAACCAAGGCTCCCTGGTGTCAGTGGACGTGCTGGTGTGTGCATCAACTACCTCGGGACGTGTGCCTGTGCGTGTGTGTGCGTGCCTGTATGGACGTGTGTATTCTGTATATACACATGTATGTATGCATGCGTGTCAGCGGGTGGGGAGCAGGGGAGGCATGACACAGGTAGCTGCTTTATCTCTCTGTCAAGTTGGCGACCCTGAGACTGTGGCCATCCTTTTCGTCTTGGGGCTTTCTCCTGTTCGTTTCATTTTCCTAGAACTAAAATAGACCCTCACAAGAAGTATTTGTATTCTGAACTGTTTGGTAAGAAAGTTGAAGCTACTGCTGAAGGTTTTTCTTTGAATAGCGTTTTTAGAAATGTCAGTTAATTTAATTAAAGTTTTAAATGATTGGAATAGAAAGCAAGTTTATTTTTCTTATAACCCAACTGGTAGTTTTTAAATAAAGCCACTAGAATCTGTTGTTTGAGATGCCAAAACTGGACCAAGCTATTTTAGTAAAATAAATATATCCTTTCTGAATTGTCAAAAGGCAAATTTCTCAAATATTTATGTGGGCTGGTGCTCGGTCTTGTTTTACATTTAAAAGACGTGATTCATTGTCACTGGTGGAAAGCTGGGCCCAGGCTGGGCTCGGGCTCTCGGGTCGGGTCAGAGGTGACTTGGGGCGGAGTCAGCAGGTGTGGTCCGCGCACCTGGGTGAGGACTGTGCGCCCTAGCGTCTGGGCCAGGGAGCGTGGAGGCGCTGCCGTCTCCCGGGAGTGCCTTGGCAGTGACCGTGCAGCCCTGGTCCTCCCTGCCCCCGGAGGGGTCCTCTGTTCCCACGGCGATGGCTGTGTTGGTCAGACTTGCTGCAGGCTGTGTTTCTTGTCCGCCTAGCTCGGGCTTCTTGCTGTTCAGATGACCACACACCTGAGACTCACAGCATTAAGGAAGTTAGGTTGTAGACAGGTTATAAAATGCCTTGCAAAATTTTGAGGTGTTTGAAAGAAACTTTCTGGACAATTCCCTATGTTACCAGAGATGTTTAAGCCATTATTTTCTGGAGTGATAGGGAGGGAAAAGAGTTAATTTTTAGACTAATTTATTTTTGGGGGGGAGCAGTATTCCCTGAAATAGTAACTTCTGTAGGAATTTAAAATGCCATGTTTCCTCCTCCAGAATGTCCTGGTAATACTCCTAGAGGCCCGTCTGCCAGCTCCGGGGCTGGGCGTTCATCCGTGGTCCCGTGTCAGCAGGGAGCTGGGCGAGGAAACAGCCCTCGCGGGCCCGCAGAGCCCGTTCCAGTGGCCACGCGCGCCCTCCCGCTCACGGTGGCCAGCCGGTCGCTTCCTCACTGAGCCCGTCCGGCCCTTTCCATGTTCTCGCCTGCAGCACAGCTCGCAGAGATCATCCGTGAAGACTGGGGAGTTTCCGATCAGTCTGAGGGTGATCATTCTTTACGTAAAAATGAGGCTTGGCTTTCCTTTGTGAACGTTTTCATTCATTTAACTTGGTGTTTTGCCTTCCTAAGAATTAAGTTTAATAGATGAGGTCGCTTTTTCGTTCCTTTCTCCGGGATCAGTTTGACAGTGTCTGCCTTTACCCACGTGTGACCCCGCTGTGTGCGTGGGATGGCGTGGCGTGGCCCCGCCTTCCTCGGTTGTTGCTGGAGCTGGGAGGCTGAGGCTGTCCGGGGTGGCGTCTGCAAGGAAGGTGGCCCTTGCTCTGGCGCATCGCTTTTGGAGCAGTAGGGCCAGGTCTGGGGCTTGGACAGGTGGGGTGCTCCTTGCCCCGGCCAGAGAGCTGAGGCCCCCTTGCTGGGGGCTGGCAGGACTCTGTCCCTGACCCCCAACCCCCAGCCCCGCAGCCTCTGGTTCTCTCATGGTGCATGTGCAAGGGCTCTGGCAAAGAGGATGCTTCCGGGGCTGGGGAGCCGAGGAGGGGGCGCGTGTGCGGGCAGCCCCCGGGGAAGCCGGCTGTCAGTCGGAGTCAGTGGTGGAGAAGCCGAGCCGGCCTCCCTCTTGGACGGAACGGCCATCCCGCCACCTCCACGCACGCTCAGCGTCACTTTGATGAGACGTTGACTCGCGGTTTGGAAAATGATGCTGAGCTCCTGCCCAGCGTTTATTTTGCTTTAAAGATATTATCTGAACGCGGGAGCCGGCCTTGTAGAATTCATGATACTTGTTTCTGAGAAAAGCGCAAGGCTCTCTGGCCCCGTGGCGGTGGGGTGGAGCCCGCAGCTCACTCTCCTTGTGTCCAACGCGGCGCCCCTCCTGCAGCGGCCTGCCCCTCCCCTCCCACCCCCCTCCCTGTCCCTCCCTGTCCCTCCCTCTATTTGCTTTGTGGCTTGATGGCCGCAGGTGGAGGGAGGGTGGTCCTTCCACTCTGTTTGGTGTAATTAAGCCTGTGATTCTACATTGGCTGAGGGTTTAGATCCTGAGCACTAGACCCAGTGCCAGGCATAGAATTGCCCAGTGTCTGTAGGTAAACTAATAAACTCTCCAGGAGTTGGAGCCTTCTTGGCATTCCAGGGATGACTGAGAGACAGCGCCTCTAAAAGTCGCTTTCCATCCACGTTTAGATCACGTGTCCACTAGCTTTCCTGTAGGCAGGTGAACGTAACAGGTGGCTGCTGGCGAGAAAACTGCACGTATCCGAGCCTGTGCTCATAGCTCTACCTCTTCACTTCTAAACCATCCGTGTTCCTGAGAAATGATTCTTCTGACTTATCTCTTATTCCGAGTTCCAAAAATCAGATCTGTGATTTGTTCTCTGTCCTTAGCTGAAGTCAGGAGCTCAGCCTCTCTGGCCCTTCCAGCAGCCGCCCCGGCCCTTCCAGCGGCCGCCCCGGCCCATCGGTGACGTGGTCGTCCTGACGGGGTTGCAGAGCCTCGCCTGGTGTCGGAGGATGTCCTGTGATTCAGGAGCCCGGCCGGGAGCGGCTGCCTGTGGCGTGGCAGGGCAGGGGGTGCGAGTCACAGACCGGCTGGCCTCTGGGCCTCGTGCTCTGTTCCAGGCCTGCGGCAAAGCCAGGCGGGGCTGGCTGCCCTTGTGGGGCCTTCTTTGCGCGTAGAGGCCAGAATGTAAATATCAGGACATTTCAAAACAAATCACATGAGAAATCTTGAAACAGTGATGACCCTGTTGGCTGGGACACGGCTTAAAGGCCCGCCGGCCTCGGCAGGAAGCTGCGTCCCTCTTAGAGGCTCTAACTCTCCCCCTTATCGCCGCCCAGCGCTGGTGCTTTCAGGGGCCGCCTCTCATACCTTAACTTGCCTCCACGTTAGGATCAGAAGGGAGCGTTTGGAAAGCGGCCAGGTGTCCAAGCAGAGTCAAGAGTTCTCTTGATTTGTGATCATAAGTGGAGTTTCCTTTTGCCAAAGGATAAGGCTTTTTAAAGTTGATGTTTGTTTGACAACCGTCAAGCCCTTTCACACACGTGGTCAATCCTGCAAATCCTGGGAGGCTGTGACAGAGAGGGAGGCTGGGTGGGGGGCGCTGGCCCACTTGGTCAGGGTGTAGCCGGGAGGCCCAGTGCCCACTGTGTGCCTCCCAAATCGTCCCTCATCCCAGACGGAGCTGGCGGGGTGCCGGTGCGCTCGCAGGCAGGGGTCTCCCGCCTCTCCTCCTGGGCGGGAGGAGCGCCAGCTACCCTGTTCCTCTCTGTGGGCCCCCTGCCTGTCCTGGGAACGGCCCGGGCCGCCTCGCTGGAGGTAGAGAGAGCGGGGGCAGTGGCCGGAGCTCACCGAGACCCCTCTCTCTCGCAGAGGACTACCCCAATGGCACGTGGCTGGGGGACGAGAACAACCCCGAGATGCGGGTGCGCTGCGCCATCATCCCCTCCGACATGCTGCACATCAGCACCAACTGCCGCACGGCCGAGAAGATGGCGCTCACGCTGCTGGACTACCTCTTCCACCGCGAGGTGCAGGCCGTCTCCAACCTCTCGGGCCAGGGCAAGCACGGCAAGAAGCAGCTCGACCCCCTCACCATCTACGGCATCCGCTGTGAGTGTCTGCCGCCACCCCGTGCCGGCTGCGGGAGGGCTCCGCTGAGGGTGGGACCATGCTGTAGGGGGGAGGGGGCTCGGGGTCAGACCTGGGCGCGGGGCCAAGAGGGGACTTTGCGGATTGAACGTTTCCTTTAGGAAGGGCTGCCCAGGGCCTGGCCCGCGGCAAAGACACCGGAGTGGGGGCCTTTCAGACCCTGGCCTCCCCTGACCTGGGGCCGCCCTCGAGGAGGGAGGAGGGGTAGAGCCGAGCCTTCCCTACCCTCCGCCGACAGCGGCCTGTCCCGGGCTGCCCAGGGGCGGGCAGGCCACCCGCCTCGTCCCTGTCCTAGAGGGCTGGGGTTCTGGGCTGCCGTCGCTGGTGGGGCCGGGGACCTCGTCATACTGATCTGGATCCCACGCGTGGCTGTGAGGGTGGCGCAGGCTGGAGTCTGTCGTGACGGCATCGTCCGGGTGACATCTGGAAGGGGTGCGGCGTGCCCGCTTCCTGCTCGTCAGCACCCGCTGGCCTGGTTTCACCCGAGAGCCCGCCCGACCCAGAAGGTGTTCGACACGGCTTACGATAAAGACACACAAGAAGCACGTAGGCTTCCAGCAGAAGGGTTAGGTGGTCACGTCTGAAAAACCTGGTGCTGGAGAGTCTAAGTTAGCGAAACGGAATGGAAAACCAATTACCCAGAGTTCACTATCTCACAATAGAGAAGGGGTGCCATCCTGCCCCGGGGGACCTCGTTGCTCACACAGAGCTCTGACGGCAATCCCCGGGCCTTTGGGTGGGGACGGTGAGAAGCAGGGAGAGGAGCTCTCCAGGAGCCTTCATGCACAGGCGGAGTTGTCTTTCCTGTGTCTGCACACTGACCTTGGTGGAAGTTGGGGTGTGGCCTGGCTGCGGGTTTTCCTGACAGGTACTCAGCTGGGCGTCCAGTCCCTGCCTCACCCCAGGGGGCTCGTCCTCCTGGTCCCCAGCTCATGGCCCCGGCCATTCCGAGTCCCCGTGCGTGTCTCGGAGCCTGGGAATCATGTGGAGTGGCTCCTGAGAACCCACCCGTGGGACGCGCTGAGGTCAGCCCTCGGCGGGGAGGAAAGCCGGGCACGGTGGGCAGAGCCCGGGCCAACTGACAGGTGCGTAAGGGCTTTGCCGTCCGTGTTCTAGGCTTTGTGAGGCCTGGGTCGTGCCTACTTGGCTCTGAAACAGCCATTCTCACAATGCGGACGGATCGGCGTGACCGTGTTCCAAAAGAATGTTGCTTTCATGGCAGGCAGCGCCCCCGCTCTAGAGCACGGTGCCAGCCGGGACCCTCACAGCGCGCCGGCTGATGCCAGGGGTTCTGGAAACGTGAGCCGGAATGTCAGGCTTGGACTGAGGGTCACCTGGGGGCCACCATGGCTGCTGCGTGCTGCAGGGGTCACCGGTTCTCTGGCAGCGGGTGGTAGGTTTACTGCCCCGAGCTTCTGAGTTACAAGCGGGGTGGTCGTGCGTACAGTGGAGCCCGCAGTGGGCCGGAGGGCGTTCTGGTGCGAGGCCGGCCTGCCTGCGTTCTCTCGGAGGCTCCTGTGCCTCGGAGAAGGGTGGGGGGTGTCGGGGGGCTGGCGGGGAGCCGTGCGGACAGCTGCTGTGTGTAAGCAGCCCAAATTGCCCTCTACATTTAGCTTACAGTTTTTTCTTTCTTTTTTCTAATGGTTCGGTCTCGCCGTGCAGCATGTGGGACCTTAGGTCCCCAGCCAGTGATCGAACCCGTGCCTTCTGCATTGCAAGTGCAGAGTCTTAACCACTGGACCACCAGGGAAGTCCCTACAGTTTCTTTTTCAGGCAGGGGAAGCCTGTGGGTGTCCTTAAAATAGAGGAATTCCTGACCCAGAGAATACATTTGCCACCACCAGCCACGCCCACCTCGCTGTGGACAAGACTGGACTTACATTTTTCTTTTCTGAGTGTCAGAAGTATTTTCCTCCCTTTCTTTTTTAAGGGAAGAAAATCAGCATTTTGAAACACATAGGCACTTCTTCTAGAGAGGGAACAAGGTTACTGAGGGAGAGCGAAGTCGTGAGGGATGCCACCTTCTTCAGGGTTCCCAAGGGTTGACAGGCCTCCCAGAAATTTGGATAACCAGCCATGTAGTTCGTGTGCTCTGTGCAAAAGTAGATCATTATTGTAACTGAAAAAAAATTGGCCATGCTTTCATGAGGCATGTGACCTGAGAATGTAGCAGTTGCCTTTCCCCCTCGAATTGAGAGTGTTACAGCCTTAGTTCTTAGGGCTTTTACTGGTGGGTCACATAGGCGTTTGCTTAGGCTGCGGGACACGCCTGGCTGACCTGATGAGAACAGAGATGAGGTGGACGCGCTCCCCAGCGTCGACAGGTCCTTGAAGACGTCTGTGAGGGGGGCGCCGACGTGGTGAGATCCCACGAGCCCCCCAGCAGCTTGGGCACAGACGGAGGAGTCACATGTCCACGGAGGACTGTCGTCGGGTCAGTCCCCCCGGGGCAGAGATGGTGTTGCTGCCGGAGCTTCGCTCGCGTGCGGCGGGCTGCCCGAGTGGCCCGGGGCTGCCGTCCCGAGCTCCGCCGACAACACGGTGCCCTGTCCGGGTCTGGGGCCACGGGGCTGAGACCGTGGCGCCGGCAGGGCCGCGCTGCCTCACAGGGCTACGGATGAGTCTGTGTTGCCACTGGCAGAGGCCCACAGCTTGTGGCCTTTGTGGGCTGTAGCAGCGTAACTCCAGTCTCCGTGTCCGTCGTCACGCGGCCATCTGCTCCTGTGTGTGTGTCTGTGTGTCTCCTCTCCTGAGGGCAGCAGTCGTCCTGCACTTAGAGCGTGCTGTACTCCAGTGTGACTGCATCTGCAGTTAATTAGTCACGTCTGCAGAGACCCTGTGTCCAAGGGAGGTCACGTTCCCAGGTCCTGGAACGGACATGAATTTTGGGGGACACTTCGGCACAGTACGCAGGGTCTGGGTTCTTTGGAACCTTGGTGATCAGGCTCCTCTGGGCCCAGCATGTGTCTCTGGGAGCTGGGAGGAAGTCGTGGTTCATGTGGGCTGGTGGCGGGACGGAGCCTGTGAGAACGGACGCGAGTGGGCGCCCTGGCTCACAGCAACCTTGGAGCTGCCGACCGCGGCCACCGGGCTCTCCTCATCACCGAGGAGCGGCTTCACTCATGGTGCTGTGCCCAGCGCCTGCGGCTCCCGTGTGTGGGGAGAGGGGGCCAGCCTGGCTCTGTGGCCGGGACGCTGGACTCCGCGGTGCCCACACGGGAGCTGAGACCGTCACGTGAAGAAGTCAGTTGCCAGCACTCAGGTTTCTGCTTCCCTCTCCCTGGAACTCGAGGCTATGTTAGCAGTGCCCTGGTTTTCATTCCGTTGTGACCGATAAGCCCCACGCCACCCCACACCCCTCCCTGAGTACACAGGATTCCAAGCCCCGCGCCTTTTTTCTTGTCTGTCCTTCCTGCGGTGCATCTCAGCCCCTCGTGGGGCTCACATGAGAGCCGGGAACCACCAGTGTCAGCGATGGGCGTCCTGGAAAGGGGGAGGTGGTCAGCAGGGACGGGAACCCGCTCAGATCTTCGGGGGGCGCCCGGGCAGCACTCGGGAGCAGCGCATTAGTCTCCCCGGGCTGCTGGGGGGCTACGTGGCTCGTCTGCGGACGGGCGCCCGCTGCTGTCTGGGCAGAGGGAGGCGCTGCTGGGCTTTCTGTGGCCGTTTCTTCTCCACTTGGGTGGGCGCCGGAGGCCCGAATTTTAAGGCTGGTTCTCACTCCTCACTGATAACTCGGTTTGGAGCTGAAGTGAGGAGATTGACGTTCTTATTTCACGAGGTTTTCTTAGGAGCATCAAATGACTTGAGATAAAATGCTTCAACAAGTGTGAAATACCAGTTAATTCAAAGTAATCTTTTTATCACTCATTGTAAGAGGTTCCTCCTCCTTTCACTCAGCTGAGGTTGCTCAGGGCTGGCAGAAAAGTTGAAGAACGCTTTTAGCAAAGTCAGAGGAAGCCCACCCATGAGGCTCTGGGGGCGGAGCCGAGCCCCCTGTGCCCTCCTGCGGCACGGCTCGGTGGGGGAGGCATCCGTGCTGCTGGCTCCTTCCTTAGTGTTTCCTGGCAGCCTTCCCGGGGGCATTTGCCGTCGAGCTGGAGTCTTGAGTCACTGTTGGAAGGAACTATGTAATAAGATGTCTTAGAAGAATTTGAAAATGGCTAATGCACAATTCTACGAATGTACGTTTTTTCTTCGAAGGACGTAAGCCAGGTTTTGAACTGGCAGATTGGTTTTTACAAAGTTGAATTTAAGTATTAATGTTTTCGCTCATTTCTTATGCTTGTGTGCCCACGTGTGTGTTGTATATATTCTCTTCCATTACTAACAAGCTTTGGAATTTTGCATGATCTCATTAATCCCTAGAGGCATTCGGAAGGTGTTTTCCTTGCGTGGGAAGGCATGAGGGGATCTGAGGGTGGCCTGCAGGGTGTCCTTCTGTATTGGAGCAGGTACCTAATGAGGTGGTTGGACACGTGTGGTGGCCACTTCTTCGCCTGTATTCGGGCTCCTCTGTAGCTGTAGTGGGTAGTTGGCTCCTCCTGTGACTGTAGAGCTGTAGTTAGTGGTCGGGTCCCCTTGTGACTATACGGTTCTTGTTCTCATAGTTGGGCTCAGTCAGTATTTGAGTTCTGTGGTAACTACAGTTGGTAGTCGGGTTCTCTTGTCACTCATGTGGGTAACTGGCCGGAACTTTGTGAGCCCCACCCTGCATCTAGAGCCGTACCCGGCATGGAGCCGTCTCAGTAAATATTGCGATGACTCCAGTTAGTTTAGAGATGACCTGAAAACCAGCAAAGAGGTGCCACCTCCTTTATGTGCTTCCTTTTCTGCAGGAGGACAAAGTGGGGCTGAGGCTACCTTGCAGTTGATCTTCTCTGATCCTGTAAACCCTGCCCCTCCTTAACCCAATTTCTTTTTATCAAGGTGACAGACATTTTGGTTGTCTTTCTGTTTGGAGTCAAAAACGCCTTAGGCTATGTTCACAAAAAAGTTAAGTGTCTTTCCAAGACAAAAGAAACTTAACAACTAGTTAAGAAAACAAAGGCTTCCTTTGTTTTGATTATTCCGAGGGTCTGTGCTCTCCACAGAGCAGAGTTTACGGATTGGGCATCAAAGGATCTCTCAGCAGCGCTCCAAACTGGGTGCTCTTAGTAGCCAAGACAGCAAGTTTTCCAGCTGAATCTTTTTTTTTTTTTTTTGCGGTATGCGGGCCTCTCACTGTTGTGGCCTCTCCCGTTGCGGAGCACAGGCTCCGGACGCGCAGGCTCAGCGGCCATGGCTCACGGGCCCAGCCGCTCCGCGGCGTGTGGGATCTTCCCGGACCGGGGCACGAACCTGCGTCCCCTGCATCGGCAGGCGGACTCCCAACCACTGCGCCACCAGGGAAGCCCCGAGCTGAATCTTTTTATTATTAAATTTTTGAATTTCATGCATTTATTTTCCCGTTAATCAGCGAAGCTTCATGACCAGCTAGAAAGGAGGTCACCCTGTTGAAAAGCATTTTTTGTGGTTCCCGTGTTCCTGACCGTTACTCCCTGTTGATTCAGCACAAGGAAGAAGTGAAGTGGTCCAGTGAGAGCTGGGCGGGCTGGCAGGGAGGGGTCTCCATCTGCCACCCGGTTTCCTCCTTGCTGGTAAGTGGTCTCAGATGCCCACATCCCGCACTGAGAGCTCGCCGTGGCGCAGGGGCGGACAGCGAGGGTGCCAGAGGGCTGCTCTGCCCTCTGCGGCCAGCGGTCCAGTGGAGGTGATGCCCACTCGGCTGGGCCGGGCTGGGCATGCGGTGGGGCCCCAGGGAGTGGATTATGTCCGCCCTTAGGGAGTTTCATTCTGATGGAGGGAGGCAGACGGAGAGGCAAGGGAAGCTCCGTAGGCCTCAGGCTCAAGTAGCAGTGGAAGAAAGTTGTAACCAGCATCTAGGCAACAAATGGGTAAGCGTCTGTCCTGTGCCTGGACCTTCTGGGCTCTTGGCAGGCGTGGGTGAGGAGAACAAAGATCCCCGTGTTTGTGGGGGAAGCGGTGTAAACGCCATCAGTATCTAAGCTCTCTAAAGTGTTAGAGCGCCGGGACGGGGCTGGCGGGGGGAGGACTCTGGGGTGAAGTGGGCTGCTTGAGGGGAGGGTTACTGAGCTCTCGCTGGAGCCCAGACTTGAGAGGAGGGAAGGAGGCAGCCAGGCAGGCATGAGCAAGGAGGAACGAGCTGGCGTTCCATCTCGGCCTCAGAACCCTAGAGGCCGTGCGTGAAATCAGGGTGGACGGTTGGAGCGCGGGGCATCCAGGACGCTTGTGCGAACCCTCACCTCCAGCTTGTTGCCCGACTCCATCTGGTGGGGGTGGATCACGTCAGATAGGTTAAAGCTGAATAAATGAGAAGCGATCATTGCACACGACAGGCAGGCCTGAGGCGGCTCTCGCCCGTCACGCTTCATGTTGGCTCTGCGCCCTGACCACCAGCCGCGCGGAAGGCCCGTGCCTCACAGAGCCTCCCCTCGGGTGTGTTCTTGCAGGTCACCTCTTCTATAAATTTGGAATCACGGAATCCGACTGGTATCGAATCAAACAGAGCATCGACTCCAAATGTCGGACGGCCTGGCGGCGAAAACAGCGAGGCCAGAGTCTGGCCGTCAAGAGCTTCTCCAGGAGAACCCCGTCCTCGTCCTCGTACGGCGCCTCAGGTATGACGCAGGGTGGCCCAGGCAGGTGGCCCCGGGGACGGTCAGAGTGAGAACGTGCCTTGTGAGAGGCGGGGAGCCTCGGCCGGACCCCGAGAGGCTCCCGGGGCAGCTGTCTAGGTGGAGGGCATCCTGGGCTCAGCAGCAGGAGCTGGGCCAGGACTGCCTCAGGTGCCGCCCTGAGCGCTGCTCCCTCTGCCTGCTGGGCCAGCACGTCGCTGGCTCACTGTCACTGTCACCGTCCGCGTGGCGTCTGCAGGCGAAGGCTGGGGTGCAGCCTAAGTCGTGCTCGTTACTGCCCTGGTGAGGATGCAGCCTCGGTTATACTCACCCTCAAGAACGGGAAGCTCTTAGGCTTTCTTTTCAGGCATTGAAAGGACAGCTGGGAAAGTTCACCAGGAGTGACAAGGAGACCAGCATTGCTTGTCACTGAAGACGTCTCAAAACGTTGTAACAGAAATGGTCTTTTAACTCCCGCGGACGGTCCCGGGGCAGTGGCTCTCAGACCTGAGCCCTGACCGGGATCGGGACCGGGATTCAGGGGCAGCAGCGGGCAGGGTGGGCGGAGCTCTCGTTCTGGAAGTGCTGCGGTGACAAACCAGGTCACCTGGAGGCCTTACAGGGTTATGAATCTTGCTGAGCCAGACCTCAGGAAGCGGTTTTCCTTGGTGGTTTGGTGGTTATCAGATACTTGGCCTTAGCCATGTGAATCATGCAAGCTGGGGGTAGCCGACTCTCGTGGGCCAGACAGGTCATGCCCTGAGCAGAGCTTCTGTGCGGGGCCTGCATTGAAGGGTCTCTCGGTGAGGAGCCCGGCCTTTCTGTCACCACCAGGATTCTGTCCTGGGAACTTAGGTAGCAGTTGGGGCCCCGCTGGGGGTGGCTCCTTGCCGAACCGGACTGGCTCTGTGGTCCTAAGAGGGTAGGCGTGGGGACTGTGGCTCCAGGGACGCAGGTTTCAGTGTGGCCGGGGATTTGCCGTCTTACCCCGGGGCCACCTGGTCAGCACGGCCGTGCTCAGTGCCTGTTCCCATCAGATGAGGTGGGCTGTGGAACCCGCGTCCCCGCCTCTGGAGGTGCCCGGGACAGGTGACGAGCTGACTTGCATGCGGGCCCCTCGGGATTGTGTTCAGTTCAGATCCTGCCTCTGGGCGGTGGTCTGAGGCTCGGCGTTGCCAGCCAGCAGCTGCGTGAGGCCCCAAGCCTGTCCGGCCCACCTTGGAGCAGGAGGGTACTGGGTCCTGAAGCTGTGCTTGGACTGCTGGGCTGGCCACCTTGCATCCGCTTCTTACCTTGTGGTTGGGGACTCAGGTGGCCTTTGCCCCTGAGGTCTGATCTCCATCACAGGCTGGTGATGTCATGCTTTGTCTTTACCCTCGCTCACTTGTTGTTTTGTTTTTCTTCCAGTTATTAGTGTTTCTTTCAGTTGAATGACAGTAATTCAGTTTAATGTTAGTTGCGTGTCTTTAGTTCCTCTGTTTTTCTGTCCATAAACGTGTCAGGGTTCCTCCTAAGAGGCTGTGGGTTTTGTTTTGTTTTTGTTTTTCTTTTTGGCTGTGTTGGGTCTTCGTTGCTGCGTGCGGGCTTTCTCTAGTTGCGGCGAGCGGGAGCTACTCTTCGTTGCGGTGCGCGGGCTTCTCATTGCGGTGGCTTCTCTTGCTGTGGAGCACGGGCTCTAGGCGCGTGGGCGTCAGTAGTTGTGACGCACGGGCTCAGTAGTTGTGGTGCACGGGCTTAGTTGGCAGGCGGATTCTTTTTTTTTTTTTTTTTTTTGCTGTTGTGGCCTCTCCCATTGCGGAGCACAGGCTCTGGACACGCAGGCTCAGTGGCCATGGCTCACAGGCCTAGCCGCTCCGCGGCATATGGGATCTTCCCAGAACGGAGCACGAACCCACGTCCCCTGCATCGGCAGGCGGACTCTCAACCACTGCGCCACCAGGGAAGCCCGGCAGGCGGATTCTTAACCACTGCACCACCAGGGAGGTCCCCAGGCTGTGGGTCTGGCAACTCTCAGTGCTGCTGTTGGTCCCGTGGCTTCTTGTGGGTGGTGAATGGCCACCATGAGGGGCTCTTCAGTGCCGTGGCCGGGCAGGCGCTGAGCCTCAGGACGTGTGGCTCGGAATGGACTCTGGCCGGCCTCGGTGGCTTGGGAAGGTCCACTGGCTGCAGCAGCAGCGTCCATGGCCAGAGTGACGGGCGCTTTCTCAGGGGCAGGGGGCCCTCTGTGTCGTCCTGATGGGCCTCGGAGGACGGACACCATGGTGCCACCCGGCACCTTGCTGCCTCCGCCCACCTGGGTCTCTGTGCCTGGGTTGTGCAGCAGGGGGCACTGCGTCGGGGCGGGGGTCAAGGTGTGCCTTTTTAAGGAGCATTTGAGGGAGGCCGGCACCATCGCACCCCCTTTGCCTCAGGTGCTGTGTGTCTGGGAAGCACGGGGGGCGAGTTCCGGGCTCTGGGACGGGTCTGGACTTGTCTCGGGCGGTCCGCTGGATGCCAGAGGGCGACCCCTCCTCGGGCGCTGGAGCCCTGGGAGTTTTGAGAGGAGCACGGACCACGTTCTTCTTTCATCAAACTCTTGGAAGTACGTTGTTCTGTAACTTTCTGTTGACTGGATCTTTTTCTACTTTAACGTACTGCCTACTTGGCCCAAACTCGATACAGCACAGGGTGGTTGGTTAAAGGGCCTCTGGGATTTCGTCCTTGTCCTTCCTGCGGACTCGCGGCCTGACCCAGCGAATCTGCTCCTTAAGGCTATTCTGGTGACAGACATAATCCAGGAACATGTGATTTAGCCAGGATTCCGTTAATTTGGAATTGGTAGTAATTCCAGCTGGAGTTGCCGTGTTCTCTTTTGAAGTATCAGCAGACAGATGCTACAAGTGAGATTCTGAGCCGAGGCTGGTCTATTTAAAGCTGAATTAGTACTGCCAATTTGAACACAGACCACAACATCACTGGTTTTCAAGGGATTTTAAAAATATCAGTTTATTAAAACGTTTGTATCTCACCCTGCTGTCTGGCCACACCATGTGAACTTTCGTATGTGCTTGAGTTTAAGGTGGCTTAAACCTCCGCCCCCAGTGCTTCTCCCCACAGCTCTCATTGGGGAGCATCCGTGTAGCGCCCAGAACGTTAGGGTCGCAGAGAACCAGCTCCTGACTGTGTGTCTCTCTGGACATGCGGCAGCGCCACCAGTGGAGGCGAGGCCTTTGAGGGGCTGCCCTTGCCGTGTCACTGCCGGGGGCCATGGTCCTCCCTCAGCGTGAGTCGTTGCCTGGGGTCACTTGCCGTATCTCTTGGATTATTCTTGACCACAAGCAAGTAACAGATGCAGTTTTTTGCACTGCACTTTGATATCAGTATTGATTGTAAAACATAGATTTAAATTAGTCTTCACGTTGCATAATTAGAGGGAGCTATTGATGACATGGTAAATTCAATAACTTGAATTTCATAAGTATTAACATCTTAATACTGTTATACTGTAACTTTTTAAAAGGCAGCCAGTGGAATCTATACCATGTCAATTTGATACCCACCATTAAGCTATTAAAAAATGCAGGAAAATTCTTTTCTTCAAGAATCAGACATTTTATCTTTTTCCTCTTTCCATTCATATCAGCATTCTACTTCTCACAGAATTTCATTTTAATGTAATATGGTTTTATCTTTAGAAGTCTTTTTGAGTAATCCATTCTTTAGAACAAAAATATGTATATACATTGAAAATTAAAATTTTTTTTTTCCTGAGTCCTAATGTTCTAAGTGTATAAGAAAATTCTTCTGATTGAGATAGTATTACAGTTAAAAGTAATACACAACACATGAAAACAAACGTATCTCATTCTGGGTTAAACATGGAAAGTAAACTTTTACTGGAAGTGTTCCTTTAATTGAGTGGATGGAACTTTTCTCCCAAGTTAGTTTTTTGTTTGTTTATTTACTTTTGGCCGCTTTGGGTCTTCGTTGCTGCGCGCGCAGGCTTTCTCTAGTTGTGGCGAACAGGGGCTGTTCTTCGTCGCGGTGCGCGGGCTTCTCATTGCGGTGGCTTCTCTTTGTTGCGGAACACGGGCTCTAGGCACGTGGGCTTCAGTAGTGGTGGCACATGGGCTCAGTAGCTGTGGCTCCTGGGCTCTAGAGCACAGGCTTAGTAGTTGTGGCGCAAGGGCTTAGTTGCTCCACGGCCTGTGGGATCTTCCTGGGCCAGGGCTCGAACCCGTGTCCCCTTCATTGGCAGGCGGATTCTTAACCGCTGCACCCCTGAGGAAGTCCCTCCCTCCCCCAAGTTACTTTAATTATCCATGGTCCCTACCTTGCGCTGGTCTGACACAGAATTTAGTATGCACTTTTTTCCTGTTTTTCGTTTTCCGTTTTTGTCACTACATCTGAGGAGCTTCACTTACGTAGTAGGTGGGAACCATCTGTGTCTGTGGGTCACTGGATCTTTAGACGCTGACTACAGGTGAGAAAGCCCCGCTGTCTAACAGCTGTTGCTCACGACACTGCACATTGGAAGTCCAGGAACGAAGGCTCTCCCTTCATTTCCGTGGGCAGTGTGGTTGGGGAGAGAGGGAGGCAGAGGTGGGCTCAGCCCCAGGATGGCAGCTCAGGCTCGTGTGCATCTCCCCGCAGACACCATGATGAGCACGCCACCGCCCACCAGTGAGCTGCAGCAGCCCCCGCCTCAGGCCCTGCACTACGCCCTGGCCAACGCCCAGCAGGTCCAGATCCACCAGATCGGGGAGGACGGACAGGTCCAAGTAGTATGTACTTCTCACCAGTTTGCCTTTGCGAGTGGAAGGGGAGGGCACGGCTGGGAAGCAGGGGGAGGGGCGCCACGACCAGCTCCCCCTGCACTTCTGGATCCCGCTGACAGCCTGGGATGGGGTCCAAGTAGAAATAGTTAAGGTAGGCCTCCTACATCTCGTAGACCTCTCTGCCGGCCCCTCGCGGCTCCCCTGCCTGTGCACTTCTGCCTGTCCTCCTGGGAGACATCAAGATGTATCACAGATATTTTCTCAGTTCAGAAGCATGGGCACCCGTTACTGAGAGGAGAAGAATAACTTTGTTCTGCGGCCAGCGGAGAGAGCTGGTGGCCTTAGTCATTCTGTAGTTTCTTTCAATTGTGTGACGAGTCGCCCTTGTGTGCTGCCGGCCCAGGTGGACGTTCCTCCCGACGCTTCTTGGGAGAGCGGGGCAGGAACTTCCAGGGGATCCTGGGGATGCTTTAGGCACCCAGCCTCCTCGCCGTGGGCCTCGTTGCAGGGCTGCCTCCTGGAGACCTGGTTCTGACCCAGGCGGCCTTGGTTTGATGCTGCACTCAGCACGCTGTCTGGAAAGGGAGGGCTTCCCGGGAGCACCGAGGAGGGTTGTAAAGAGTTCTTCTTCCAAGGGAGACGGAACAGTTATAAACAGTGGATTCTTTGTTTAGCTGACAGTCACAAAAGCAGTTACTCTAATCTCGTTAGCAAGGAAGTTCTTTGAAAGAACTCCAGAAGAGATAACTGTGATAGAGGGTTTACATAGATGCAGTAAAATGAAAGCAATAGAAAATTCAACAGTAGTTTATTTTCAGGTCCATTTTGATTAAGGTAGAATTTTAAATAAGATAATGGATATTCATTTCATTGAGCTAAGTTAAGGTTTACAGGAATTATTTGTCTGCCTGTATCTACAAACATAAATGCATTTTACTTGGAGTCTGATACTTTGGAACCACGTTTATCGTTTACTTCAGCTGTTTAAGTAGTCATGTGTTTCTTTGATTTAAAAAGAGTTGGCTGACGTGTTTTCTGTGTAGACACATGTACAACTGCCACCCACCCTCCTAGTCACGCTGCTGTGTAGCCTCCAGCACCCCCAGGTCACTAGGGACCCTGTCTGAAAGTCCATGAGGTTTCTGGTCCCTCTGAGTTGATAGTACAATTTAAAAAAAAGCTTGTCAGTTTAGTTTTCTGGAAAATTGTGGTTTCTCCTTTTTCCTGTATGTCCTTCACATTCTTAAATTTGCCTGTTTAGTAACATGTAAAGATTTAACAGATTTTTCCTAGGCCTCATTGCCCCTTTAAGAATTACTGCGAAGTATTCTGTGTTATGTCCTTAAAGTAGAACTTCAAGAGGGTGTTTAGTAAGCTCACACCATGCGTGTGTGATACTGGCCACTCAGGCCTTAGCTGTCTTTTCTTGAACTGCGAGTGGAGAATCAGGAACAAACGTTTCGGAGAGCGTTTCTTGTTTCTTCTGATGCTTCTTGGTGTCTTCTCTTCTGCGGATCCCACAGGGCCACCTCCACATCGCCCAGGTGCCTCAAGGGGAGCAGGTGCAGATCACGCAGGACAGCGAGGTGAGTCTGGCTGCCAGCCCAGGGCCCGCTCTGTGCCCACGGGCCCTCTGCACTCTGACCTTTGTCCTTTGCGGTGGACAGCTGGGCATCCCCAGGTGACACAGGTGTCCAGCAGAGACCGCCTGCTTCCCACTTGCTGGGGCACAGACCCGAGGCCCTGCCTGCCCTCCACACCTTCCTGCCCTTGCCGCACCGTGGCCCCATCTGGGCTTCTTTGTGAACACTTGCTATATGGAGGCTTTTGCTCCTGGCTGAAGTGCCCTCTGCAGCCCCAGGGGTGGGAGCAGCACGAGGGGGCCGCCCCTGAGACTGTGGCCTCACGTGTCCTTGGCTCCTCTTGGCACGTGGGGCCAGCGCGGGACTTGAGGGAGGTGGGACTCCGGTGAGAGGGCCCGTGAAGGTCCTGTGAGCCTTCGGCGCAGCTTTTTCTGACTCGGCCTCAGCCGCCTGCGGTCCCGCCATCCCGGCCTCTTCCCACTGGTGTCCTTTTACTGTGACTCCACGGTAAGGACAGAGGCAGGAGGCCTTCCTGGCTTGCGTACCTGCCCAGGGGGCGTGGTGTGTGAAGGTCAGCTTGACCCTCCAAAGGCGAGGTCGGCGGGTCAGGCCCGGAGCGCAGGGCTGCAGCCCGCAGATTGGGGCGTGGCTTCCTGCACCTTGTCCCCGCCTGGGAGCAGTGCTCGCCCTGGATATCCCCCCCAACGTGTGCCATGTGGGCGGAGCTGAGGGCCGGGCTTGCTTCCAGCCTCCGGCATCGGCGCCAGGGGCTGTCGGCCCCCGGTCTCAGGAGAGTCCCGGGGAAGCCTGGGACTCGTTTAGCGGTGCCTGCTGGCTCCTCGTGTTCAGGCCGCACCGGGCTGCTTTCCTTAAGTGGGTGACGTTAGTGCCCCCGACCTCTCAGTCCCAGCCCCCAGCCCCACAGTCAGAGAGGGAAGAGGTGGGCGGGTTCTGAGGGGACGGCTCCGAGCTGGACAAATCCCTGTGAGTCCTCAGATGACGGGACAGGTGTGTCCATGGGAAGGTGGGGCGCACGGCCAGGTGGGTGCCCGGGGGGTGGGGAGGCTAGCGGGGGCGGGGGGGGCGGTGAAGGGGAGCAGCGCACAGAGGCTGGGGGGGTGGGAGGGGCAGGTCCCGGGAGGCCTGACCACAGGTAAGGAGTGGGCTTCCCCCTGCCTCCTGCGGGGCCAGCGGGCTGGGGGTGGGTGTCTGTGAGCTCACACAGAGCAACATGTTGAGGGGGGGAGTGGGCAGCAAGCTAAGCGCAGGCGCCCCCTTGGGAGCAGGGGAGCTTCCCTTCTCCTGGCACAGGTGAGGGGGAGGCCACGCCCACAGAGGGCCGGCCGTCGACCAACACGCCTACCTTGCTGGCGGGCCTTGAAAGGAAGGAAAATGGGTTAGGGTTGGAAAAGGAGAAATCAGTGTACATCCGCTTTTATATTGTTTCTGCTAAAAATTCATTAGAATACTTACTGAATTCCAATTTTAGTATCAGTTTTGCCCCTTTTTTTTTTTAGTTTTCTTCACTGAATTCCTCCTCTATATAATCCAGTGGTTTTTTTTTTTTTTGCTTCCATTAGGAATCAAATGCACTGAATTAGAAAAAATTGCTGATAGTGTAAAGATTACTTTGTAATAAGTTACAATTTGCAATTAGTCTTCTTATCACAATGAAACCTTACTTTGTTCACTTAAAAATTAGGTAGTTATTTTGTCAAAATGAGGATATCTGTAAAGAGACATTTAGCAACGCCTACGAGACTTAAAACAACTATTATTTTTTTTAAACAAATGAAAATGAATTTCCAGCTGGTGAGATCTCTGTAGGCCTGTAGTCTGGTTAATTGCATCACGTCCCATTGATTTCCTGATTGCCATAATGCTCCATGATGTGTCAGATGTCCCAAAGGGGAAGCTGGGTGATGGGACGCAGGACCTCTCTGTACTACTTTTGGTTCTTCTTGTGAGTCTGAGATTGTTTCAAAGTGAAGAGTTAGAAAAAAGACATTTCCATTTGGGGGTCAGGGTTGGGGGATGGCTACAATGTTTTTTCACTGGTTTGTTTTATTCGTTTTTGTAAGAAAAAATAGCACCTGTAAACTCAGCTTAAGTATTGATATTTTGGGATTTTTATGGCTACAAGGGACCGATGTTGGAATTGATGTTAATGGTTTTGCTGGTTTTCACTAATGGCCTGGGGATGTTCCTGCCTCTGTCTCGTGCATCTTGAAGCTGTTGTCTTTGATCACACCCTTATTCATCCATTTTGCAGGGCAATCTACAGATACACCACGTGGGACAAGATGGGCAGGTAAGTGCTCACCTGCGGTGGATCCCAGCGTGGCAGGAGCGGGAGCGTTGGCCCCGGGGACACATGGAGACACATGGGGCTGGGGCATGTGGACGGCGGGGCCCTGGGCTGTTGTGCAGCCGCTGTCTGTTAGAATAAGGCAGGTTTCGTTCCCGTTCATTGCTGTCAAACTCCAACCGCTGCCTTTTCTTCTGGTCCTGAGAAAAAGACCCTGAAACCCTCATTGAGCTCACCTGATACGAACTGTCTACAGAGTGAAGCGCCCGGCTGAGGCGTTCTAGGGGTGATTTGCTTTCTAAGATGGAGTGAAATTGCTGGTGAATTCGAGGATTGACATTTTCACGTCCTCGTGAAGAGTTTCTGTTAGAGATGTTTATAACCTGAATAATTATGAAAGAGAGTCTGGACGATCTTTCTTTTTTATAGAACGTAACTTAGGAATCATGAACATGGAGCTCAGTCACTATCAAGATAACCATAGACACTATTCTCAGAGCCGAGTGCACGCTCCCTTCTGGCACACTGTGTGCGCTTCCCACGTCCTCGGCGAGGGCCTCATGTCTGCCACAGACGGTCATGCAGGGTGTGCGTTGCTGGACTCGAAACCAAAGGACATCACGCCCCGAGGGTTTCCCGTTGAGCCCTCGGAGCGCCTTGGGACGAGTGCGATGTTCAAGTTGCACTTTCTTCGTTGAAAGTGTCATCTTGAACATACTCATGAGGTTCTAATCAAAGTCCTAAAGCAGTATTAATATATAAAAATGGCTGCCTTGGCAAAAAGCCAAAGAGTTGCAGAGTTTTAAAAGCTGCGCTGAGTTTTAACCTTAGTTACACCTCTTCTTTAGCATCCTTCTCAGGGCTCTTACTCCAGGTCGGGAAAGCTGGGGGCTCTTTGTCACTTGAGCCTTGAAACAAAACCTCTGCTTTCCCAGAGTTGTGCTCTGGTTTTTTTCTGCTGCTGCTGGTGAGGTGGCCCGAGGTGACCCGGCAGCCTGGGGAGGGGTGTCACTTCCGGGCAGCTGTGTTTGCTTGCCTTTCCGTTGTGCTTTCGGGGAAGGTGTAGGGAGAGGAGCCCTGTCCTGGAGGGTCGGTTACAGCGGGGAGCAGCGCAGGGGCGTCGAGCCAGCCTCTGCCAGTGGGAGGGCGGCCTTCTCCATACGGCAGCGTGGGCCCCGCCGCCCACGTTGGGCCTCACATACCGCGATCTGCCGCTTGCGTCTGTTGGAGCAGATTAAGGGTTGAGGGGCCCCCCAACCCCCAGGTAGGCCCTGTGAGGCTAGGCACTCAAACCCAGGGTGGAGGGGTGAGGGTGGTGGAGAGGAGAGCATGGGGGTTAGAGGTGAAGCTCCAGTTGGGCTGAGAGCACGGGTTCCGGTTACTGGAAAAATGTCCCAGTCACACTTCTCACCCAGTCCCTGTCGAGTGGAGTGACAGTCATGATCGGATGCTGAGATGCCTCAGCATCTCAGGGAGGCTTGTTCCTCTCCCTGACCCGGACGTCGAGTTGGCCGGGTGTAGACAAAACAGTCCCCAGAGTGTTCCATCGGTCAACAAGGCCGCACGCGAGGTTCATGTCGGGTTCACTCTGGCAACACGTGCTCTCTTGGCTTTGCCGCTTTATACGTTAGAGATGTTTGTGAGGTTATGTGGACATTTTTAACCTTAGCAAGATATTTACAAGTTTTAAATGAACTGTACAGGGTTAGAATTTGACCTGGTTTGGTGCATTAATTAAGAATGATGTGATTAAAAACATGTTTAGGGAGCAGTAAATTGTGCCTTGTGTCCCTTTAGCACAGCGTCTGTCCTTCCGCTGAGACCTTTCCGCGCATTGTCCATAAATCCTCGCCTTCAATCACACAACAGTTTGCCTTTCACGCCTGGAGTCTGGTTGCCTCCAGGGCTGTGCTGGCCTGATGTTCTGCCCCTCGAAATGCAGGCTGTTTTGGCAGGGGGAAGTGAGGGTCTGTGTTCAAGCAAAAAGATGCTGCTCTTTGAAAGGAGCAGACACGTCCGCCCGCCGTCGTGAGTATGTGGGCAGCAGGGGCCTGGCTGCAGGAACAGTGCCGTTAGCCTCCTGCGCTGTTGGCTGGCAGGCAGGCCCCAGAGCTTGTGGACGGAGCAGTCACTTCAGTTGGGCTCGTCGCTGGGGAATCGGGTCATGGGGCCCCTTTCAACCGTTAAGGTTTGAATTTGAGCCTCCAAAGTGGGGCCTCTGTGAGTCCAGCCAACAAACACTGGGCCTTGGACCCCAGTGGGTGCTTGGTGAGCTGCTCTCCCCACCCTGTGGTTGCCGGAGGAGCTTTTCCAGGTGAGGAGGGGTTCCCCTCTGGGGGAGAGAGGGGACACCCCGAGCTGGGGCCACTGCTCCCCGGCCGGCTTTCCCTCGTCCCAGCTCACCGGTGGGCCAGGTAAACCCGGCTCTGGCTCCAGGTCTGTCCGCCCTCCTTAGAGCTCAGAGGTGCACTGTGGGTGTGAGTCTGCCTTCGGGCCTCGAGAGGCGGCCTCACCGGTTCCATCCCGACTCCTCCTGGCCGTGCGTGGGGCAGCAGGGTGGGGTGTGGGACAGCCCCGCCACGTGCAGGGGGCGTTCCCATCTGATGACGTGCATCTGAGGCCGTGGCAGGGCCCCCCTGCCTATCCCAGACACCCACCTTTCCCCACCACGGTGCTGTCTTGTCCACAGAGGGTTTCTGCTCGCTTCCAGGCCCTTAAAGCACCACGATGGGTTCTGTCCTGCTTCAGCTGCTCACGGCCGGGGCCGGGTGACTTTGCAGTAATGCATGACAATTTCGGGGTGCTTTCTCTTCACACCGCAGGACTGTGTACTGTCGATAACTGTCTGAATTTGACCCCAGTCAGCGGGGTCCCCGGGTGCTGGTAGCAGCAGGTGCTGGGACTTCAGGGATCTGACGCTTAGGAAGGGCAGGGAAGGCTGAGGGAGATGCTCTCAGACCGGGGACTGGTTCCCATGGAACCACAGCGCCTCCTGGCTTCTCGGGAATCACCTGCGACCCACACAGTGGGCTCTCCGAATTTGCGTGGTGACTTTTGGGTAAAAACGTGGCCATGTCTTTAAAGGGAATATCTGGATATTCAGTTTAGACAGCAAGAGGTATAGGCTTTGGTTCTGATGAATTGGATGTGGTTGAAGATTTAGCCAACTCAAAATAATCTTTCTGATTTCTCTAATCAGTTGGAGGAAAGGCAGAATAATCTTACTCAGTTTAGGAGGTGGCAGTGCAGTTGTAGAACTAAATCTGGAAGTACAGACGTTACACGGGAGGTGAAGTCTGAGAATTGGAGGAAAGAAGTGGCCGAAAGAGGACGTTTGTTCTGGAAATGCTCTCAGTGTCACCTTGGCTTCCAGGAGGCAGATGGTGGTGGGGAAGCGGAGGGCATCCTCCTGGCGGGAGCGGGGTGTGGGTCTGGGCAGGGCCTGCTCTGTGGCGGGGCTCTGTGGGGTCACAGGCGCTTCATGTCAAAGCCACACGTCTCCTGGGACGTGTGCGTGTGCTGTATTCTTTCCCTCTCACTTCTCTAACGGTCACTGTTTTCTCGGGGGTCGGGTTGTCTGAGGCGTCAAAGTGTGTGTTTCACTTAGAGCTTCACGTCTGGCCCCTCAAGTGAAGACCACTGCTGAGGAGGGAGTGGGTGTGAGGCCGCGCGTGTCTGTCGCGTCCACGAGTGTGGTCCCCGCGTTGGGTTCATCTGGGTAATTCAGGAAGATTCCGAGGGGACACATGCAGTGACACAGACGAGGCGCTGCCGCTGCTCCATCTCCTGGCTGCTCTGCTTTGAGCGCTCTGAGCTGCTCAGCGTGCGTGAGTTCAAGGGAAGCGGGGTGAGCGCCTCATCTCGGCTCGGTCGTGCTTGGGGGACAGCGGCCGGCAGTGAGACCGTAGGACTGGGGACCCGCGTTGGCGCTGGCTTTGTGGCACGGAGACATCTGGCTCTGAATCTGCCCCGGTTAGAGCCAGTCCCGAGCCCGTCACCCTTCAGCTGTGTAGACGAACGCATGCCAGGAACCACGAGCCTTACTGTGAGACCGTGAGCACTGGGGCGCGTCCCTGTGCTGCTGGTCTCATCGTCGCCTGGCCGCAGCCATCCCTTGCTGTACGACCCCCGCCCCCACCGCCAAATTTGGGGCCAGAGAAGACAATCAGTTATTATGCTTGGGGCTTCCCTGGTGGCGCAGTGGTTGAGAGTCCGCCTTCCCGGTCCGGGAAGATCCCACATGCCGCGGAGCAACGAAGCCCGTGCGCCACAACTACTGAGCCTGCGCTCTAGAGCCTGCGAGCCACAAGTACTGAATCCCACGCGCCACAACTACTGAAGCCCGCGCGCCTAGAGCCCGTGCTCCACGACAAGACAAGACACCGCAATGAGAAGCCTGCGCACCGCAGCAAAGAGTAGCCCCCGCTCGCCACGACTAGAGAAAATCTGTGCACGGCAATGAAGACCCAACACAGCCAAAAACAAATAAATTAAAAAAAAATAAAAATTATTACCCTTCACCATTCGGGGTTCACCGGGCCCAGCGGGAGGAGGTGGCTCTGCCACGTCATGTCACTGGGTCGTCTGGAGGCTCGGGGCTGCCCTGTCCAAGGGATCCCTCCCGGGCCTGGAGCTGGGCTGTCCCCCCAGCCCCTTGGTTCTCCATGAGGGCTCCCCCAGTGGCCCAGGGCCTCGCAGCACGGTGGCAGGGTCCGCGGGGCGGGTGTCACCCGCTTTTGAGAGCTGGGGCGCAGGCGTGCAGCCCCATGGTGACCGCGCTCCTGAGGGCGGTGGGGGTGCCCACGCCGCGGTCTGAATGCACAGGACGTTGCTGGCAAAGAGGGATGCGACACCTCTCGGCGTCCATTCTGGGCCCAGCGTGGCTTGACCGTGAGCCCCCCAAGGGCAGGGCCTGTGTCCTTCACGGGGAGGCAGGGGCCTGCCTGAGTGCCCGGAGAGGCCCGGTGGATTTCCATGGAGACGGTTACTGGGTGAATCATGCA